GCCACCCGGCAACGCAATCGACATGGAGATTGCAGAATCAATATGGTGATGTCATATTTCCTCGATACTCATGATTGTATGAAATTTAGAAAAAAAATGCGTATATCTAGGTCTACTTTCAGAAATTGACTATTTTACCGGTAAATCTGAATTTTTGTAGAGCCACCTCTCACGAGTTTTCCCGTTCTGACTGATCGGTTAAATATTCGTAGCATTCAAATTCGCTCAATCTTAAAATTTGGTAACGAAATTGCCCCGAACCAGTCATGTCAATATGAATCGACAAGCATTTTACTCGGGACTTTTCCGGGTTTTTCCGTTCCGGTTGGCCAACCACAAATCCAATCGGATTTCTTATTGTTTCAAAACAAATTAGATAGCCATACCTTTCGAATAAGGTAGTAGCCAGCCCAAGTAATGTTGCAAGTTTTATCGAGGTTTTAATGCATGCTACAAGTCTAAATCATGATCCACAGAACGCTCATAAAACTAAAATTGTTGCTTGGGAGATCATGTCAATTATAGTGATGCACGTCCATTATCTTTGTATGATGATCTTGAGTTCCTAGTTGCGTCTTATAAAACAGTAACACCATTGCGGAAAATGAACAGTATCTCCGGGTATTTTCTTATCGAGCATCACTCTACTGTCGTATCGCATGTGCTCCATTTTGCAGCTCTTCTTTCACTTTTACTTTGTTGACTCCATGGTACCGGAAAAGATATAGATATATACATGATTAGCAATGATGTGATATAACCACAACGTGATGACCGTTCAGAATGGTTCAACGGATGTGAAATGAGGGAATATTTAAATTTAACACGATTTTCAATGCAACATTACATTTGTTGACTAACAATTAACACAATTTTCATTATGTGATCTTAAGTAATTTCTGGAAGAAATTACTTGTGTTTTATACAATTAATATCAATGTTCTGTCATATCGTATCTTCAAGTGATCTTCGCAAGCGCCACATTTAATTCAGGCTCTTTAGAACTACATGTGATGAAATATGAAACGCACCTTTTAAAGTGAATTGCACATAACATCACTTTCTCACACATGAAATCTGTCTCGAACAACCTGGCAAAACGCGCTCTAGCCCTCACTGAACCAAAGGGCAGGGTCCAAACCGGGTCCTGATCATTCTAAAATTTTAACTTATTTGAAGAAAAACTTATTGTAAACATTCCATTTGAAGTTGATATGGAAATTACTATGACTTCCTCTTTACACCGCCACTTGCTTCATCTTGTAAAGTTGCCTCATTAAGCTCATTTCCTGTAGTTGTTACATTTAGGATTTTAATCTCACTTCCTCCAAAACCTTATCAATTTCCGATCCTAGTTTTGTGGGTTCCGTTGGGAGCTCATTGTTTGTCTCCATTTCAGGCAAATAAATTTGAAACAGCTGACTAGCATGATTGCCTAGATCTGAAATTTCACCCAAATGTTTTTCTGAACCTTTAGCTTTCACGAGCATGAAAATTCGTACACGATAGTGCACTAGTCGAGTACTAAGCTTTTCTCTCTGACGAGCATCAGCTTTCGAATTGTTGAGCAATCCAATGATAATTTTGAGCTTGGTACCTATGATGCCAGTCTCTTCGAAAACAGCTCTCCAACTGGGTGAAGCTAGAGTCGGTGTATAATGAGTCACGCCAAGAGTGAAGCCAAGTCTACCTATCGAACTGTCAAACCAGGTACCTATCGTGCAAAGTAAACAAACATTACGATGCTATGAAAGGTCCACGAAAGGTATTGCAATAAAATATAAAATATAATCGAAGAAATGATAATAAACACGCAGTGAGCATTCAATTGTCATGGGATACGTTTGGTAATGATCAGTAATGAGAATTTCTACTATTTTTTGTTTGGATAATTTGACAAAATCACTGATATAATGATTTACTACAGCCGCTATTATTTTTTTCTCGCTAGAAGTCATTTGAAGTTGATGTAGAAGTCCTCTGTTGCCAAGTTAAAAGAAAGGGAATCTTTCGAAAATTGTGATAAGAGCAGTGCTGAGATTTGTCATTGTCATTGACAGACTTTTGCGCGATATTGACAAAATTGTTTTTCACATAGTCAATGATAGACTTGATCCTCAAAAAAATCTTTGTCAAAATCTCATTCATTTTTTCGTCAATGACAAAGATTCACCTGGATACAGAAAGTGTAATTTCTTGCATTCTGAGACACATTATTGTTATCCAAGCGGTTCAGGACGTAGATGCTTATTAACTTTAATGGCTCCATGTAATTGTTCTGCTCAAGCTATTTAATTTCATTTCAAATTTAGCTAATAAACAAATCAGCACATGTTCGTCACTGACAAAAATGCTACTGACAATTGACATGGTTTGCCTTGACGATGACTGTTAGCTCAAACGAGTGACCAAAGCAGAATTTTGAGTATCACCGTGTATTGTCGAAATTTTGCAGCACTGGATAAGAGTTCAACTGTTTTTCTCTTGGCGTGACTCATTATACACCGACTCTAGGTTTCCCGCTCAATTTTCATCTAATCCTTCAACTTTTTCCGCTTAATGCTTTCGTGTTCGTCCTGTCCGAACAGAATGTTTCTGATGAGAAGCTCGTGTTCAACCTCATCAATGGATAGATGAGACACGTTCATCCCTCTGTAGAGCGTTTGTAAATCCATTACCAATGCAATTGAAAAAAAAAACTAAGTTGAACTATCACGAAGAAGTTATTTGAAAATCCTAATAAAGGAAAAAAAATCCGATATTTGACTCTTGACGAAAACCATGCATCCAATCAAACACAATGAATCTTTTGATCCAAAACAAAACCTTGTTCAGATCAGTCGAATCAAGACCTAATAACCCTCAAATTCACTCAATTTAACGCACAATTACTCCTGCTATTTGGTGTAGAAACGAAAAAAAATGCAGACTTTCGAAAGTTTACGCGCACTAGTAAGATGATTCAATGAATTTCAGAACTCCATAGAGATTGATTAAACGATCGCGTTACTATCCTTTTTGCTTGTCAGAACCTAACCTTCCTAGCTACCCTTGCACACTCTTGAATTTTTAGATCTATCGGTTTGCTGAACTCTTGATTAGCATTGATTTTTATTTGGTCGCCAATTGTTACTAGGGGGTCAGACGAATCCTCATACAATGCCCTCGATGCCTGGTCTAGCCACGGGGAACATTTAAGGTGGGCTCTCAAGGCCTCTTTTGATTTCTCCCGGAAGCTCGGGCTTGAGGCCCTTTTGCGCTCAAGGTCGGCTTTTATCAAGGGAATCTGCTTAACAAGAGTCCAGTCACCAGATAAGAAACTACACAACGCAAACTACAGTTAAACACATTTTTATTTTAACTTACAGCAATGGTATGTGTGTTTGTGGGTACGATGGGCCGACCGGCAGCTGCTACTGCTGCTGCTGAAGAGCGGACCGAAAATCACCTGATCGGCTGCGTTCGTTGATCTGCTGGATACGATGGCGTCTGTACGGAGGCCACGTGGGCTGTGGGTCTATTCGTGAACCTCCGGGCACAATGGAACTTTGGCTGGTTGACGTTGGGGTTTGGTTACGGACCTCGCACGGGACTTTTATTCCAGGTCAGCTGCCTTAGCTTTTTTTTTTTTTTTTTTTTGATTATAGTCACTTTAACGCTCTTGGGTCATTCGTGACTTGTCCGGGGATGAGATTTGAACTCGTGACTTTGGCGTGAGTGGTATGGATGTTAACCACTACTCCGGGGTCGCCCCCTGCTGCCTTAGCTAACCGGTAACGGAACGGCTTCAACCGGAATACAATGGGTCGTGGTTCGACTTTCTCCAATTTAATAATATAAATTGAGATCATAGTCACTTTTCCACTTCACTGTGCACAACTTGTCTAATGAACTTTGTATGTAGTTTCGAGTTGTTTCTCACTTGAGGTGTTACGTGGAAAAGAACATTCTATCACTAATAGGACAACCAGTAGCCTCTCTCTTTCTTTTTTTTTCGTGACTTTGGCGTGAGAGGTATGGATGCTAACCACTACGCCGGGGTCGCCCCCCTAAACTCTCCCTTTCTGGTATACCATTTTTCATCGTAGTCCTTTGTCTGCTCTTTGGTAATGCATTTAGCTCTGCAACAGCTTTTCCCAAAGGTATAGGTTTTCGTGTAGTGTAGTGTAACAAATTGTGTTCTTAGGTTATCAATTTGAATTTATTTCTTGAGTATGCATGCAATTAATTTAATCCTATCTAAGCTATTATTTATGAATTCTTTACTATAGTCGTATATAATATTCAATATGCAAATAAATAAACAATAAACACTTAGAGAAAAAATAAAAGTTTTATAATTGAACTAGTTTTTGACTGACAAACAAGGGATATTATGTCCCAACAGTAACAGGGTCCGGAAAGGGCATTTAAAAACAAAACGGGGTCGGATCAGGTACTGGTTCTTATAAATTGTACGAAAAAGGTATGGGTTGGGTGGTTTAAAAATATTAGATCGCATAATTGCTTCTCTTAGGTGATCGTAGATCTTAATCCAAGAGCAGTCGCTTCAAATCACCCAATCAGAGAAAACTTCAAGGTCAACTTTCTAGCGATGTATAAAGATTTTAAAAATATCCAAGGAAATCGTTGATAAAACTCAGTGCACCAGCGCAACTGCTGTAATATTAAAGACACTGCCAAATGGGCCCGCTTAAATATTACGTAATGCTAAGCGGGAGGAGTGGGGCGGAGTGTTTAATATCTACGCAATGTATTGCTACGGCTTCACATTGAAATTTGTCACGCGTAACGTAACTTATTAATTTTCACACATACACAGGAAAAGTAATACTAATTTTTCACATGTTGTTGACTTCTTGCAATTGTTATTCCAACTTGGTACATATGTTCCTCACTTTCCAAAGACGGGTTAGTTTGATCAGCGGGGTGTACTATTTCAGTGTGATTTGTACTAATTATTTTCATTTGTTATTGTTTCGATTTGCAATTGTTTCTAGACATACACGTGGCAACGGATCCAAACAAATCGTCTGATACAGGATTGGCATCAAATAAAAAGCTAAGAAGAAATCGAACAACATTTACGTCTGATCAATTGGCTGCTCTTGAGCAAATCTTTGAAAGAACACACTATCCAGACGCATTTCTTAGAGAAGAAATTGCAAATAAAGTTGTATTGAGCGAAGCACGCGTTCAGGTAGGTTTACGTTGTTAGAGTAATTATTAGATCAACTAATATTCAATAATTTCAGGTGTGGTTTCAGAATCGCCGTGCCAAGTTTCGCCGCAATGAGCGTAGCATTACAGTCAGCCCACATTCGTTGCCTACAATATCGCCAGCTTATCATTTGGTATCACCATCGAAGCAGCATAAATCAATAAAACCACTCCCCTCCCAACCAGATATGCCGAATTCTTACCCGATAAACCTACAAAATCTCAGTACAATGTTTTCAAGTCCATCCAGGATTGGTAACTTTTCATACAGCGAGATAATGTCTCCACAGGATGCAAATTCATTGAGCTTCCATACGACCAATTACCCTGCACCAGCAATGCCCAACTACCAATTTTCTACATTCAAATATTAGTACTTACCATTTTGTAATGTTCATCATTGAGGTGTATATAAATCATGGTTGCATCCATGTTGGCCAACCTAACCAATTCATTTCAATGTATATGAATTCTACAAACTCTATGTTAGTAATGTATTCATAATAATTATATTTAATTTTATTTAAATTATCCATGCAACACATACATTGTTAATAAATAATCAATGAAATACTTTTGTCTTTGAAACTATCGAAAGAAATATTTGCATGCCAGCTGGCAAGGTGGCTACTGGATGCTTATGGGATTTCCCCATTGTTATGGTCTATTTCAGGGGTATCTATGATTATGAGAAGTTGGTATACATTCTTATCATTTGATTCCATGCAATAAACGTCAAATATATGCAGTAATTAGCCAGAAATCAGCAACATTCTACATAACTTAAACCTAAGACGCGCATGCCACTGGTTTTCATCTGCTTTTTAGTGTGAAAATTTTCAGGCAAAAAACAGTTCAGAAATGTTACGACATTTTTGCCGTTTGCCAATTTGTTTTTGTGTGTCTTCACTATGGTAATTACCAAAAGTATCAAATGTTATGGGAAAATGTCAAAAATCAGTACTCGTGCCACTACTATGTAAAAGAGAGTGCTTGTTTAAATCGGGTAATGCAAAAGGGATGCAAAATGTGGTTTTTAGTCACTCAATAACATCTGTGGTATGTATTGTGTAACGTTGCGTTGACGGTGGTAAGGTGGAAGAGTGGTGCATGGTGGTACGGTTAATTGTTAAAAACCCACTTTAACGCGTAATAGAGGCATGAAGAACTGTTTGCGATTTCTATTATCAACAAACGTAAACCCGTTGGTAATAAACCGATGATTTTACCGTGTTAAATTGATCTGTGATTGCCGTGTATTGTGTTATTGTGCGCGCGTTCGTGAAGAGTACCTCAGTGAAATGGAAGATTTCATGTAGCTGGTGGACTAGTTGAGAAATTTTTAGCAAAAGTATCGTTCCGTTGATGGTTGATTCCTAATTTCGATATTAGCTTGTTTTGTTTCTCGACGCGTGGTAGTTTTTTTCAGTGTAGTTAGAAAACTAATTTAGCTTCACTATTTTTTGCAATTATGGCTTGTAAAAACCGCCAAAAAACCGTTTTGGACTCTGAACGCATCGTTTGTCGTGGATTTTGTGGTGACACATTCCACGTGATTTGTGCCAAAGTTGATGTCGAACTTCTCGATCAACTCGGGTTGTACGCAAATTACGTTTTCTGGATGTGAGATCAATGTGCGGCACTTTTTTCTAACGGCTACTTCCACAATATCGTGAGCCGTAACGTCAATCAAACTCCTGTGCCGCCGAATGCGGTGGACTCAATGAAGGAGGATATTGAAGCTGAATTCAATGCTCTAGCAGCCAAAGTTGATTCAAAGATTACGACAAGCTCTACCCCACGTTGGCCTCGAAATGGTCGCCTTGATCCTGTTCGTGGCACCCCAAAACGTCGGCGTACTTCGTCTAGCTCTGACAACAAACCCATACTATGTGGGAAAAAAGCTCCAATCGACTCTGTCAGAACGGTTGACTTGAATGAAGATCTATGGGTTTACTTATCTGTTTCCATCCCAGTACTACGAATGACGGAATTTCATCTCTCGTCTGGAGGCACACGAGAAACCACGGGTTACAAAATTGGTTCTAAGAGGAATAGATCCATCCACGTTGAACTACGTTTCCTTCAAAGTCGGCGTTAATCAAAATAAACGGTATGTTGCCCTTTCCTGCAATTTGTGGCCAGAGGGTATTCAATTCCGTGAGTTCGATGATTCCCGGTCAAAGAAAGTCACCAAAATTGCTCAAATTGGTCCGGAACATTGACAGCAGTATCAGGATACTTCCCTTTCGAGGACTGAAGCACTGATGAGCGGACCTAGGACGCAACAACACTTTGGAAGCCTCTGACCCACCCGAAGCAGTCGATCCGTTAGAAGATCCAATCAACCGAAGTCGTCCTGGCCATGCTATTGGTAATGGCGACGAGGTCTTCCAGCCTGTATCGTAACATACCTAAACCTCCCTCCTCTGAGCTACTTTATGCTTCCAGCAACGATAACGTAACCCGAATAAATGGGCAGTCTATACAACATTCATCTACTCTGGGACGCAGTGATGTCAGCATCTTGGAAACCACCGATCCTCTCACCACAGTCGTGTCACAGCAGCCATCGTTCAACAGTCGTCCTGGCCCTGTGTGCGAGCTTGAAGGAGTGGTATTCCAACCTGGCCAAATAGGCAACCGTCAATTCCCACCGACATCAACGCAACATGCAACATGTAGGTCATTTGGAACAACCTATTGGTCATTTGGAAGCCACCGATCCTCTCACCACAGTCGTGTCTCTGCAGCCGTCGTTCATAAGCCGTCCCGGTCCTATGTGTGAGCTTGGAGACGTGGTCTTTCGATCGTGCACAGCAGGCAAGTCCGATCTTCTTATGACTAGATCAATTTCTGACTCGTTCACCGGTTTCAGCGCTACAACGATCATCCATGATTTTTCACTTACCAGCATAACTCTGGGACGCAACGATGTTAACTCCATGGAAGTCCCTAGTCCCCCCACCACAGTCGAGCTTTGCCCACCTTCGTTCACCAGTCGTCCTGGTCCTGTGTGTGGGATTGGAGATGGGGTCTTCAAACCCGCTATTCACGATGTTTCCACGATCTCCAAAAATAATATTGCTACCTCTACTGCTTCTGGACCAGCACCATCACCACCGAGACGCATCGTAGATAGCATTGTGGAAGCCCTCGATTTCTCTGCCTCAGTCGCGCTTATTCCAGCCAGCACTCAGCATACTCGTCTCGCTCCTTTTTGAGCTTTTTCTTTCTACTCCGTGAACCGAATGACATGACAAAAAGCAAGGTGTTTAAATATAAGGTGAAGTGACACACTCTAAGAAATAGCAATGTTACAACACCTCTCCCTCTCGTAAAAAATGCAGGTATGACGTCTATAAATCAAGGCTCTGAGGTGGTTTGATTGAACGACTTGAGCGCCTTAAGGTTCTACAAAGGGTCATTATTTTGTTTACTTCTTCTTTTTGAAATATTCTTCGATTTTCTAAATGTATTGGTAAAATTCATTGGAAGTGCATGTCCCCACGCCAAAACTGCCCATTTTTCATAAATATCAACTGGTATGGTGAGGAAAACTTAACCATCTCTTTTCTTCCTTCATTTCAATACAACAGCAAATGTGATGTCACACTATCTAGTGGATAAGAATGTAGCAGACAAAACATAAGCACTGCCAGACTGCGCTGTATGCAAGTTTGTTTACACCCCTGAGCGGGAAAGTGTATAACAGGCTACGTGCACTGCTGCCATCAACCCTGTTAGTGTTGAATTCAATCTTCTGTGACTTTTTTAATTGGACCGGTAAAATGTTTAAAATGGTCATTTATGTTTTATTTAATCAGTTTTTGATATTTATCCACCATTAAATACATCCACTCATCTATGTTAATAAGGCAGACTTCGTAATTAATTGTTTTAATAAACTTAAATTCATTGCTAGAGGCAATACATCTGGCACCGCTGTTTCAATGATACTTTCACGATTGCTAGCAAAGCAGTAAAGTAGAAATGGTTTTCTTTGTGATGAATTTTGTTCACCAAGAGTTTTGTGAAGCAGTTGTTTTGAGTTTCGTGTATTCGATTGCGTTTAATTGTGCTATACTTCGAAGAACACAAGTAAGTAAATACAGTGAATGTGTTTTACCCAGGAAATTTTCGTGTTTTACCCACGAAATACATGTTTTAAATTTTCGTATTCATAATATATGAATGTATGTGTAAACTAATGATGATGATTTTATGATATTTAAAAAAGAAGAAGAACACAAAATTACTTACCCTTTGTAGAACCTTAAGGACATGCTACTACTATTATGATGGTCATCTGATTGAAAAGGTATTACTTCTGGATAGAGTTTGACTGGTGTAGCTGAATGTTGAACCGCAATTAACGGTGTGGTACCTACAATTTCTTCTTCCGATACTACATACCTTGCAGGAGAGTCATCGAAGCAGACGATTCAGTTACCGGCATATACCGTTCAACAGCTACCTCGTTTCTAACGGTATCCAACGATTTCCCCTGTAGATTGGCTCCAACTTCAGCAATATGATCAATGTGGCGTTCCCAGATTCTGCCATCGTTCAGACGAACGCTGTAACGTAACTTCCCAACCTTCTCGACAATTTTCCCAACTTCCATTTATCGTTGGACAAAAAGTCTCTGACACGCACCGAATCACCATCATGGAACTGACGAACGACGTAATTCTTCGGCAACAGCAAATCCAATCTCGATCGTAGTTGGCGACCGAACACAAGCATCGAAGGTGACTTACCGGTGGCCGGATGAATCATTTTCCGGTAGGTCAATAAAATGTTTGACAGCTCCAAATTCATCTCCGCCTTTGAACACTTCAATGCCCTCAGCTTATGTTTGAACGTAACGTTCCGCTTGTCCGTTTGTTGCAGGGTGTTATGGTGCGCCCATCTTGTGGGTAACGCCGTTCATTTGCAAAAATTGCTGAAATGTTGCTGCAGTGAATTGAACTCCATGGTCACTCACAAGTACCGACGGTATGCCGTAGGTATCAAAAATGTCTCGGCACATGTTGATAGTGTTTTCAGCAGTTATAGACTTACAAATCATCACGATTGGCCACTTGTTGTACGCGTCCACGTAGATGAAGAAATACTTATCCAAGCATGGCCCAGGGAAGTCAACGTGAACCCTTTGAAACGGCTCCGTTGGTAACTCCCAGCAATGTAATGTCATCTTGGCTGGTTCAGCTCGCACTGCCTGACAGTTTGCGCAGTTTGCAATCATCTCTTCTATTTCCCGGTCAATTCCAACCCACCAGCAGTAGCCTCTAGCCAATGATTTGGTACGTGTGTTACCGAAGTGAGCGCTATGAAGTTCTTCAAGCACTCGTCTTCTGAGCTTTGGTGGGACGTAGACACGAATTCCTTGTAGCAAACAACCGTTCTGGAGAGAAAATTCAT